TTGACTTCATTTGTGGAACCAACTAAGTTGGTATATGCCTTTAAATTATTGTTGGTCTATGTAACGACCTTAATTTAATTTGGATGATCAAATTAAAGATAATTGATTGAAGTACAATTTTGAATGGAAAATAATATTCATTTGTGTGTATCGACGACCACTACTTTAAAAGTATTTAGACTTTCACAAAGGACTTGATACGGATGTTATCTAAGTGAAATATATTGAACTACGAAAAAGAATTGATGAACTCTGAGTTCAAGAATAACCAAAAAATGTGGGGGTTATCATAAATGCTTAAGAACTTATATGAAAAGTTCAAGACGTTGAGGTGCAATACTACTACTTGCACATACATTTCTAATTGAGGAAATATGAGGGTAACTTAGTTCAAAAGTTATATTTTCCTATACCTTATAAATCATAGAAAGATATCTATGAAGGTAGAAAGGTGAAAAATTCTTATTATAAGGATGATATACACTAAATCTAAAGTTGATGAAATGAGGTAAAATCTCTAAAGTGGATGAAATGAGATGAAAGCCGATCATGACAATTGTTTGGATTTATAAGAACAATTGGAATATTGGAGAATATTCAAAAAGTTCGAATGCATTGCAATGCTTGAATGATAATATTGAATATCCATGCATTAAATCTACTAGTAAATATGATTGACTAGTGTAATAATTGATAGAAATCCTTCAATCTTGTTTGGAATTGATAAAACTTCAAATAAAGCTAATGAGAAGCATGTAGTTTCATGAAAGGATTTCTTGGTGGTGACAATGTGTATTTATTAAATGAATCGATCGTTGACTAGCTATATTTGATAAGATACCAAGTCACATGTAATGGTAAGTCTAAACATGTATATCGTAGACATAATACCACAAGCAGTTGATTTCATTGGTGTAAACTCGAGAATCCATTTATATATATTTACCAAGAGATCAAGTATACTGCATATCGAATGAAATAAGATTAAGCCTACTGTGTAAGAGTCTTTATAATGGTAACCCTATCTTGTTGACTGGGGGTGAGGTGTGGGAAGAATGTGAAGTTTTGGGGAGGCATTTGCACTTTTTTAGAAGTTTTGTCTATAGTTGTAATTTTTTTTTCTTTTATTTAAATAGGAGGGCATATTGGTCATTTTACACCAAAAAAACAGTGAAAAGGACATTCGACACAAAGAAAAGTCAAAATAGGGACAAAAATGCCAAAAAATGAAAGGTAGATACGTTTTCCACAACACACTCGAAAGGTATGGACGTTTTGTGTCAATTTTACCCCATATTGTATCAAAAATTGGTCGTGACCAATTTTATATGATTATTTAAATGAAATTCGTTATTTGGTGAATAAGAAATTAAACTAAATGTAAACTGCTTAATACTTGAAATTGTTGGAAAATTGTATAGAATATTTCAGAAATATATAGAGAAAAAATGTGTCTTTTCATATAAAGGATCGTGACTCTTTGGATTTGATTAATTTCCAATAATTGTGTTTCTTAATGTATAGAAATAAATTTTAAGAGATGTATCTCTTGGTATGGTTGTGTCCTTTAACATACCTTTTCAAATACTATATATAGATCACATGTGTTTGGATTTTATCAATTTAAGAAATTCAATTCATAATTCCATATTGTTCAATTTCATGTTACACTTTGGTTTTGCATAAAACATTTGCATCAAAATCATGGTTATAGTGGATAGGGAACTCCGTTCGAGTTCGTTGGTCTAAACCATTTGGAGTGCTCCTATGGTTAGACGTGGTCGTTGTATTTTGGGAGATGATTATCGAAAAATCGTTAGCATCGATGAGGGCAAATTCATCTTAAAGAGAAAGTGTCCCGCACTTGTCTCGACCAAAATCCATGACTTGCATTTTCTTTCTTAATTTTTTGATTTCTTTTAATTATACTTTGATTTCAGAAAATGTTTAACATTATTTATATGCTTATGGTGCAAGGTTTAATTCAAATAATGACTTGCTTCATTCAAGAATCAAAAGGGTTGAATCATTATCCATGTATTCGGATTCGGTAACTATTATTGTTTTGCTCCTCAAATTCATTTCGTTAAGTCGAAATTACGTTTCGATTTCGTAAATATAAATTGTATATTTTTTGTGAATATAATATGCATAATATCGATGCAATTTTTAACAAATTATTTATGAAATTTATATTAATATTGAAGATACTTTTAATGCGAGGAGAACGAGGGTTATCCCTTTTTTTGCACAAGGTCATTGTCGTGTAGACTTTTCGAAATTAAAAAAAAAAAAAGATTTTGTCCATGATGAATTTAAATATGAACCGAACATGTGTTTTGTAACCCGTGACGTGAAGGCTTTTAATCACGTCAATGTCAAACGTTTCGTCTAGACAAACATTGATGAATTTGTTAAGAAATGTTGATGATAACAACTTTATTTGGGGTCTAGCGGTGTAATTGAAGAAGAATGGATCCACTTGGTTAAAAGTGTTTTGTAGGTAAATTAATAGATCTTGTAATCTTATTAGGATAAGATAAACTGTTTTTATTTATTATTTCATTAATAAGATATGCTCACAAGAAATATGACTAAAAAAGAAGTGGGCCCACAAAATTTTATAGATATATTTTGAATGCATTGCACCCTAGGTGTCATTTATCAAACAATTGTTTAGAAGTATGACGCATTAAATTGAATACTTTTGTTTATTTTATATTTATATTAAATGGTGGAAAAATAGCAGGAGTGTGGAGCAACTCGGTATTCAAAAAAGGGTTTTGTTGGACTGACAGTCCAGGGCATTGAATTGGCGCCCCCCTCCCCACACTCGGTATTCGAAAAAGGATTTTGTTGGACTGACCGTCTAGGGCATTGAATTGGCGCCCCCTATTGAATCGGTGCCCCCCTCTCCACACTCGATATTAAAAAAAGGATTTTGCTGGACTAATCGTCTAGGGCGTTGAATTGGCGTCCCTCTATTGAATCGGCGCCAATTAGGCCCCCTGTTTGGACAGGGCCTACGTGCCCCTGTCCAAACAGTTTTATTCTCAAGAAAAAAGGTAATGCTACCTGCACGGGTGACTCTCCTATGTAAACCATTAAAAAGGACTCATACGGGTGAATCTCATTTGTGGCCATTGAACTTTCAACAAAATTTTAATTAATTCACTGAACTTCAATTTTATTTTAAATCATCATTCAATCATCGACCATTTTCAAAAATGATGAAAAATGTTTAATTGTGAATCATACTGCAATGATATTCTAAATAATTTGCTATTTGATGTGCCAATTTAACACTATGCGATATCATAAAAAATGTTAAAAATAAGAAAGATTCATTTTAACTTTTAATAATTTAAAAACATTGCCATAATTCTTGTTTAGTTATTTTTTTGCTTTTAAGTGCCACGTGGCAACTATGTGGGAAGATCAATAATGACATGATTAACTGTCAAGTGTCAACTAAACCGTGAAATTTCAAATTAAATTGAAGTTAAATGAATAAAAAATTAAAATTTTGTAATCCAATTGAAATTTCGCTTAAAATTCCACTACCTTAAATAAAATTTATCCACTCATAGTTTACTAGGAGGATAAGTCACTAATTAGCCTCCATTTTCTAAATTTATAAATTGTTTAGAAAGAGAAATAATAAGAATAATTGCGTGTTCCACGAAATAAATAGAAAGTAAAGAAAAGTAATTATGAATGTGATGCCTAAATTAAAATTTAGACCCTATTTGATGCGAGTTAAAATCAAATTTTTAGTAAATTTTGATAAAAATTGATAAAATGTATTGTTAAAAAGGTTATGAATTTTATAAAATATGTAATTAAAATTAATTATTAACTTTGATATAAAGTAAAATTTAAGTTTTAATCCTATAAAATATGGGCTTAGCCCTTGTTTATCTCGACTATTTTCGAAATATATTTTTGTCCATCTTCTTTTTATCTACACATTCATTAATAAAAATAAAATTACACAAAACTATACATTTTTTATTTTTTAACAACACATTCTCTATTAATTTATTATTCTAAAATATATTCTTCAATAAAAATAGGGCACGTCCATATTCTTAATTTTGAGTGAATTTATAATTATTTAGCGTCAAACAAACGCCCTTAAATTCGTCCAACTTTTTTTTTTGCAACAATATAATGGAGCCCACATTTGCATCTTGATGTAAGAAACTATTGTTTGATAATTTTATGATTTGTATCTTTCCAAATTTACCCTTAGATGATTGCCAACTTACCAATTGAAATTGGGAGAAAGATTGAAGGGCAAATAAGTAAATTTCTCATGACAAACTTCGTTTTGTCATTGCTTTCAGAGGCGCACGATTTTTAATGAATAATGCTATATAGAGTCTGTTTCAGAATACTTTTGAGAATTGATTTTTTGATCGTTATGAAAAAAGTGGGGTCCACCTGTGAGAGTAGAAGTCAAATATAACGACTGAAATAATAAAATAACGATCAAAAAATAATTTTTTAATCCAAAAAATCAATTTTTTGATCCAAAAAATCACTCCTAAATTGGCTGATAGTCCCGTTGAGATTGTAGTCTTAGTTTATATGACATTAAATGATTGATTAATAAAATTTGAAATTAAATGAATCATTTAATTCTATCTATCAATTAATATCATATTATTGTCATTTAAATTGGGATCACAATCTAAATGAGATTAAATAACATTAGGCATTTTTAATGGATATGGTAATGTAGAAAACTTTGTTTAACAAAAATAAAATAAAATAAATGACGTCAGATAGGGGCTTATTGTAGTCAAAGGAGAATTATTTACGTAAGGTTCTCTTAAATAGGAAGTTAAGTGACAGGACGGTTTTCCGCCATTTAAATTTCATAATTGATTTCCACGTGGCCGATTCTCCGGTCCCGCATTTCACACACGCAGCAGACACATTTTACGTGAAAATCTCTACCTATATGTATGCTAAATTTCAGCGGCCCCGCCCGATTGTCATGCCAACTTCAAAATCTCTCTCTCTTTACCCAAAATCCTAAATCCCAATTAACGTCTAGGGTTTCCATTCTTCAAATCTATAATCTTTCCTTTCACTCTTTGCCATTGTGAAGTCTAAGTAAAGACTCTCTCAATTCTTGATTTGTTTGCATTCTATTGAATTTTTGAGATATCGGGAAAAGGTAAACTGATATTTTAATTATTTTTCCGTGTAGGTTGATTGTATTGATTTGGCAGCGTAAATGTTGGACGAGAATTTTGGTGGTTTTTTTCTCTTTCTTGGGCAATATTGTCAGGCATCGGAATAAAATTGCCTGAAATGAATATATCTACTGCATGATCTCAAGATTGGGAACTTGTGAATTTATTAGGTGCATTTGTGAACAAAAAATACAATGGAACTAGTGTTTGGATAAGTTCTAATCCTGTGGTGGTTGCAAATACTGTGTAGCAGTATGTTTTCTCTATAATATATGCGCCTGTTTTTAATGAATATGCTTGCAAGACTTAAGAGACTTTGTACTTCCAGATTCTATGGTGGTGGATATGAATGACTTTCAGTCTGTTTGGACTGTGGATGCAATTTGATTGATACATGATGCAGGGTTTATGATTTGATATTTTCATTTATCAGGTTTTGATTATCGGTATTCTCTGAAGAACAATGATTATGCTTTTTGAATATATGCCATTGATGATGTTGACTTTCTCTTGCATAAATGATTTTAATTTTGGATGTTTCCTTTATACCTGCACCAGAAAAAAGAAGTGCAAAGTTTGAGAAATAGATACTTGGAACTTCTTTGGAATGTAGTTGCGGGTTGAATCAACATTGATATTATTTAGTCTTTTTACAAAATAAAGAATTGAGCATTCCAGTTTTACTTTTGCAGGTTCAGGATAAATTTGAAGAACTACGGCTTCTTGTAGTATTGGTCTTTTGGACTTCTTTGCTATTTAACATACGAAGATCCGTTATCTCACTTTTGGATGATGACATTCCACAAGTTTGCTTTTAGAGTGATATAGAGATGAACATTTCTGCTCTGTTGACTTCTTCTGGTATCAATACTGCAGTGTGTGTGGTGCTGTTTTCATTGTATTCCATTTTAAGAAAACAACCAAGCCTTGTAAGTGTGTACTTCGGGCAAAAACTTTCTCAGGTGAGGTCAAAACGCAATGATCCACTTTGGTTTCAGAGATTTATTCCTTCTGCTAGTTGGATAGTAAAATCATGGGAAGCATCTGAGGAAGAATTATTAGCCATTGGGGGTCTGGATGCTGTTGTCTTTCTCCGGGCAGTTGTTTTCAGGTGACAACACACTTAAATTTCAAAACTCCCAGGACCCAAATTATGTTTCCTTATTATTGTAATGATGGATCTTCATAATTTACTTGAAGAAGTAAGAACCTTTGATTTGTCTGTGTATTTTATCAATTGGAACTATGAACTTGTATCATGCTCTTATGCTGTGTTCGTTACAATCACTGAAATATTCTTCCGCTTTCTTTACTATTTCCTTCGTATTTCACTATTCTTCAAGACATTTACAAGGTGACAATTGATTTCCATCAAAGGACTTAAATATTGAACTAGAATATTGATAGTGCTGCTGCATGTGTTCTCCTTCATTTTATCTAGATATTGGAAGATTTTTTTTTCTGTTTTTTCGCTTGATTGAATTTCCTGGTATTCTAGCTGTTGTCCTAATATAAGCTACTGCTTTACTATGTGCAGTATCCGAGTATTCTCAGTTGCCAGTGTTATATGTTTATTCCTTGTGCTTCCACTTAATTATTTTGGGAAGGAGATGGATCATAAACATATTCGAAATGAGCAGTTGAGCGTGTTCACCATTGAGAATGTCAAGGAAGGGTCAAGATGGTATGTAATATGTCAATATCTATTCCTGATAATATGTGCTTGTCCTATTCCTGTGAATGAATTTTATTTGCTCAAAGTAATCTGGTTTATGAAATCCGTTTTAAGGCTAATTAACAACGGTTAGGGGGCCAGGTGGGGATTGTCTGGGCCTTTTTACTGGTCTGAACACAACTTCTCCGTGCGGGACAACTTCCAGTGCTTACACTCATGTAAAGTATAACCTCAACTTGCATGTAGAGAGGTAAATGAAAAGGGAGCTACTTTGGCGTTACAGTGAAACAAGATCAAGGGTGCAATCCTGGTTCTAATACCATATTAAGCATGTCTGAAAACCAATTTGTATTGAGTGTAGAAAGTGCATTCATAGAACAGCGTGGGAACTTATAACTTTTTCAATGTGGAACAACCATATAATTTTTAATGATATAATACCATGGGTGAATAAATGTCAATTACATTAAGTGCTTAAATGCTAATTAACTTAATAAGTATAATATATCATGATAGAATAATTAGTGAATGTGGCCTCTCACAAAGCCGAAATAGAATTGAAAAATAAGATATTTGGGCCTTTTTGAATTGAAAAAGACATATATTCAGAGTTGAAACTTTTTCATCTTAGATTTTTCAATATTTATCCTTGTTGAGCTTATGTGGATTTTTTGAAAGGACAGGAAACAAACACATTGTGCATTCATTTACTGAAGTCTATATTAAATGCTAGAATGTTTCTTCTTTTGTAAATGTTTCTCTCCTCTACTTTTTTCGTGACTTAATTCTTTCTAATTTTTTCCTTATATTTGGTTTTTGTCAGGCTTTGGGCCCACTGTCTTGCATTATATGTCATATCATCCTGTGCTTGTATTCTTCTTTACTTCGTAAGGTTTTTTATTTTCATTTTGATTGAGATATACAGAATTTAAATGGATGATTCTTTTGCTTTAACCTTGTTGATAGCACATTTCTGCCTGTCTTTAGGAATACAAAAGCGTCACAAAAATGAGATTGGCATATATTGCAGCATCTCGTTCCCAAATAAATCACTTTACTGTACTTGTTCGTGCCATTCCATGGTCTCGAGAAGGATCGTACAGTGTCAGGGTTGCTAAATTCTTTACAGATTACTACTCGTCAAGCTATTTGTCGCATCAAATGATTTACAAGTCCGGTGCAATGCAGAAATTGATGGTAAGCATGTAAATGGATCTTCTCTTATGACAGTTGATATTTCCTTATTTGGCAGTATGTTATGAATTAAATGCCTAATCCCATATTATTGAGAGCAATAACAACTCGAAATAAGAAAAACGCACGACTATCAATGGAAGTAAGGAAAAACATACAATTTTTAGTGCTTCTCTATCAATGGTAGAGTCCACTTACCGCTTTAGTAACACAAAAATTATATGGAAGTTTAGCTTGCAGTGACTGCAAGCTTCGTTTTTCTTATATTAGCACAAATATTCATCATTCATCTCACTTCAAAATGACTCAACCAACCTCGTTGTAAACTAACAATTTACAAAATTATTGTGAAACTAAAAAATAATTCTACAGAAACTACGACTTAATGGCCAACAGCAATTAGTTACATTCATTAACTATCAATGATAATTAATTTAAAAAAAAAAAAAGATGACACAATGCGACTCAAAATAACGCATAATGATACTTATTCCGAGAATTTCATTTGCAATTTTTCTGTTGTTATTTCATTGTTGAAGACTCGATAGAATATATTATTTATTGCCTCCTAGGAAATAGCAATAGCAAATTGTAATCTCGGATATGGTAAATGAAGTTTTACAACGATCTTCATACAAGGTGTGTTTTGTAAATTATCTTAGTTAGTAATGTGGTGGGGTTTTTTATTCATTTTGTAAATCTTGTCCAGTTCAATAACATCTGTTAATCATCTTATGTGAACTGTAATTTCTGAATATATAATATTTGAAGTGTAATAGCACCCTTTATACTTTGTGTGATTTGTGCTAAGAAGATGCAACGGTAAAGAAAATACATTTTGTCTACTGTTTGCATGTATCTTTATCACAAATCATGTTTAATAACATCAAAAATTGAAAAAAGAAAAGAAAAAGAGAGATTTGATTCTCATCGATCATTTACATTAGCACGTGGGAGTGGACGGAAAACCATATGCTCCTCACGCTGTTCTGGTCCTAGGATATTCATAGTTACTACACGCATTTCTGTGAACGACTTGAACGATACTTTTAGTTCTCTTCTTCTCTTTAAGGGCTTAATAGGCCAATCAGTAAGTTGATTATCCTGCTAGTTACCCGAATTAGCAAGTTTTCGATAAGATCTTTGGATTTGACTTTTGAGCCATCAACACTAAAAAATTTTCTTGGGTAAACAATGTGACAAAGACATTTGTTCAGCCGAAACTGCCTCAAAGTTATAGCTTGCCCCATTGCGAGGTTTCTTCAGCTGTTTCCTGCAACAATGTACAGCAGGGAAGTGTGTTCACAGTTCATAAGGGAATTACTCATAACTATCTGTTATAAACACCTAAAGGAAAACCTGTTGATTTCCTTTTGGTAATTATTGGCCACGTACGTAGGAAACCATTGTTCTAGTTCTGGATCTTCTCGAAGGGTTGTTCTTCAAGCTGAAGTAATCGTTATGGGCCTCGAAGAGCATGTCACATATGTCAGTGAGGTACAAATTCTATTCCACATGGGTTTGGTTAGAATTAAGTGATGATTTTTAAGGACATGAGTAGCTACAAGTTGACAACTAGTGTTAAACATCTTGAACCTGTGAATTAGACTCCAACACGGATTTAAGGTAATAAAACTCAGAGAGCATCCTGAACCAGTGAATTAGACTCCAACGTAGATGCAGAGTAATAATAAATCCGAGTTATTGCTATGAGATTTCTTTTACTTTACGCTGTCACCTTCCCCATGTATTCTTTTTTGTTGACTGATGTTTTGGTTATTTTGTTGTCTGCAGACTGATGCTGAGAAGATCTACAATGTGCTCAAGTCCAACACTGTGGAACAACATTATGGATCTCGACTGTTAAGATGTGGCTTTTGTGGAGGAACTTCAACATCTTTTAAGATCCTTTCTCCTGAGCCTGAAAATGTTAGGACTACAAGCTTACATGACGGTCCAGATTTGGGGAAGAAGGTCTGACTTTCTGCATATATTTACTACGTAGATTAATATCTTCTCTTCATTGATATCAACTGCACTTTGCTTCTGCTAAATGTATATCATCCAGAACTTTCTTTAGTTCATTGTTAGGCTGTTTTGACACCTAATGGACAATATAGTGAGATCTATAACAGCCCTTCCTGACTTGGACGTCTGAGAATTTTTTCTTGTGTTAACTTAGTATTCGGTATAAAGGAAGTGACGTATGTACCATCTCCATATTCTGCAGTAGTCTAATTGTCTCTATCCTTAACTTAATGCATATTGAAGTAAATTCATTTACACCATCTAAAATTCAATTATGCCCTCTGTGATTTGTATGCCTTGGAAAATAATATGTCATTTGATTTCACCTGTTGCTTCTATGAAAATATTCTACTGTCTGACTTATGTGTGCACTTTAAACTTTATTATCAGCAACAGCTGTTGACTGGGTGAATTCTTTGTATTTGAATAGACGTTCACTTGGAGTGACTAGTGATGTGACACTTGAGGAAAATCCAATCTTGATTCAAGGAAATATAATTGTGAAATCATGCAGTAATATCTACAAATATCAAGGTTTTGGAATCTGAATGTGGTCAAATTTATGTAAGGCAATTTCTTACAGGGTAATTGACACAATACCCCCTGACTTTTGCTTGCTTTGGGGAATATCACCTACCCTTTCACTTTGGCGCAAAACCCATTTGATGGCCCAAACTTATCGGGGTACGCCTACTGCCCAATTCCATTAGTTTAGGCATTAAATCCATGGAAGAGGGCCAAAATTAAAAAATAAAAAATAAAAAAAAATCTCCAATGCCACTTGTTTAAATGAATTCTTAAAACAGTCCTCAATAATCCTCACCAGGTTGCTGTTTTTCACTGCCCAAATTCAATCCTCAGTCCGAAGTTTTAAATCTGATTTTTACGTTTTCTGCTTGAATCTTTTGCGTGCAATTAACTTGTATTCCGGTATTCAGCTTGAAGCCAGTCAGCGAGTCAGCACATCATCAATGCTTCCACTATGCCTACTCTCTAGCCATCAAAGACTCCAGTACCTTTATTTCAGCTATATATTTGCCATTATATGGTGTATTGTATAAGCCTGCAAGCTGTTGTTTCAGTTTCCCCAGCTTCTTTAGCTACAAGCAAAAATTCGAATTAGTGTATGAAGTTAATTCCATCACATGACTCAAGAAGTGCCTTTTGGTAATGTAGAGACGTTATAAGGGACAGTCATACTTCTCCAGTGTCCCAAGCCTGCTCAACATCATCTATATATCCATCTTCAATAAGACAAAATGGGTCAAATAGGAAGGACCTCTCCCTGTCTCGGCATCTCTTATTTGTTGGGCTTCCAATCATATTTAGGAAAATAGATCCAAGATTTCAATATCATAAGCTAAAATAAACCAGCGGAACGGGTCAAATCTTGAGTTTGCTCCCCAATGATCACTAGTTCGAGTCTCCTCAAGGCCACTGATGTGAGTACCCGGCTGTAAACTTCAGGGTCTCGTGGAATTAGTCGAAGTGGGTGTAAGCTGGTCCGAACACCCACGTTCATTAAAAAATGAATAAAAATAAAAAAGAGATACGCGGAACTAATGAAAATCAGTGGATGCTGAATGGATCGGCAAATTCCAAGACAGGTAGAGGTCCTAAATAATGAAGTGAAATGAACAGACGGCATTGCCCTTCGAGAATTTTTAAATCTTGGCCATCTTCAGTGGATTTAATGCCTAAACTAATGGAATTTGTATATTATGGGGGTATTCCGCGAAGTTTGGGCCATCCAGAGGGGTCACGCCAAAATAAAAGGATAGGAGGTATTCTACATAACAGACAAAGGTCAGGGGGGTATTGTCCCAATTACACCTTCTGACACGCATTTACATATTTATTTAAGATATGCCAAAAGTTTAGTGTGCGTATAAGAGATTCATGTTAATGTCAAATTGAACTCGTGCAATTAATCTTGATCTGATTTTGTGAAATGCAGCGTGTTTCTGCATTTGCTAGTAAAGATACCCTATTGTATGGAAGTCCCCAATTCTTCCTCATGTATTTGCTGAGTGTGTCATGTTTGTTGCCAGCTAGTTTCAATGAAAATATTGATGATATTATCAGATTGAACATGTCAGAAGTTTAAAGCAGACTGATCTTTTCTGCAGGAGTGCGGAGCTGCTTTGGTTTTTTTCAGGACTCGTTATGCTGCTTTGGTTGCTTCAGAGGCACTCCAACAACCTAATCCAATGACATGGGTGACAGACTTGGCTCCAGAACCAAGCGATATCTATTGGTCAAACCTATATGTTCCATATCGAATCTTTTGGATCCGGAAGATTGCCATACTTGTGGCCTTTATTCTGTTCGTGACTTTCTTCCTTATCCCTGTGGTGTTCACGCAAAGTCTCGTTCATCTCGATAAGCTGGAGAAAGTATTTCCCTTTATAAAAGGCATTACTGAGAGGTAATATGTGCACATGTTAGAAGTCAGTTCAATTGTTCATATTCTTTTACAATTAGTGTCTGGCATGCATATTTGGTTTTGGTTTCTTACATGGTGAAGTAGCATTCGAATAACGGATTAAAGAAAGGTGGGTGGTAATCAACTAATAATGTTATCTAACCTTAAAATGTGTTAAGAGTATGTACTAAATGTATGCATGTCAATTCTAACATCAGTCTCTGGCTATATAGCACGGACACTCTAACTAGGGTAACGTGTCCGTATCCGACACGTGTCGATATCGACACTCTTCGGACACTCTACAATAATCATTTTCCTTTCTTACTATAGTTATTATATATTTCTAACTCAAAATTTTTAGTAAATAACAAATTAGTACTCATAATTAAAAGATTTCAACAAAAAAAAATCAATAATAAGTATAAAACTAAATTGAAACTATATAATTGAAGAATTTTAAAAAATTTAATGAACAAGTCGATGACGTGTTGTGTCGGTACTTTTTTGAAAAATCACGAGTCGACGTATCCGACACGCATCGTGTTGGTGCATCATAGGTCTCTGGAAAGCACTTTTACTAAAATCATTTTAAAACTTCAATTTTGTCTGGTATTTGAAAGGAAAATATACCAGTTTTAGGATCAACGTTTTATTACTTATTTTTTTTTTCGCACAAAAAAACTCTTTGAATTCCCAGTAGAAAGAGATTTCCCCTATCAGCATGATATCTGTCCCTTTTTTTCCATCTTAAAATGTACCACATCTTTATATACTTAAAGATGCAAAATATTGGATGCAGCAGTTGTCAATTTTGTGGTCTGTACATTCTGAACTATAATGACAAGGAATTACAATTTTCCTTCCTGCTTTCTTGCAGGAAATTTATGAAACAGCTAATAACTGGATATCTACCAAGCGTAATACTCATGATCTTTTTGTCTATTGTCCCACCAATTATGATGGTCTTTTCAACATTGGAGGGCTCAATATCTCGTAGTGGCAGGAAAAGAAGCTCATGCATTAAAGTCCTTTACTTTATAATATGGAACGTATTCTTTGCTAATATTTTAACGGAGGCAGCTATCGACCATTATCAAGTTTCAATCATGAAATTGGGAGATCCAAAAACCATACCTAACCAGCTTGCCAAAGCAGTACCATCAACGGTGATCTGTTCCATTCTCTTAAGTTTTTACTTCTCTTATAGCACCATCGTGGTTGGTTTTATTCTGCAAATGCAAGAATGTATAGGAATGTTGACCTTGAATTGCCATTTTTATACTATATAAGTGCTCATTAGTATTTGGCAATTTCGTCTTTGAATGTTGAATTAAGATTTTATGGAACTGGAACTATATTTTTAACCATTTATTGTAATTATATGCTACAAATTTATCCATGCAAGATTGTAAGTGTTCATGCTGCATTGTTCAGTTTTTCCACCAAACACGTATATTTCGAGATCTCATGTCACTTATGATTTTATATTTTGCAGGCTACCTTCTTTGTAACTTATGTTCTCACATCAGGCTGGGCTAGCTTGTCCTTTGAATTAATTCAGCCATTTCCTCTTCTCTGCAACTCATTTTATAGATTTATTCTTAGAAATAAGGATGATACCAGTTATGGCTCTTATACCTTTCCATACCACACAGAAGTTCCAAGAGTCCTCCTCTTTGGACTTCTGGGCTTCACTTGTTCAGTGTTGGCTCCTCTGATATTGCCGTTCTTGCTGGTTTACTTTTTCCTCGCCTATCTGGTATACCGTAATCAGGTGAGCATTTCTTATGGAGGTGTTCCACTCTGTCTGAACCTTTTTTAGTTCACACAGTTTGGAATGATCGCACTAGTTTTTTGTGATATGCATTAATGTCTTTTCCTTTAAAAGAACTCTAGGATACTTTGGAATGCATTTGAACTTTTGCGCTGCTTGTTGACTTGTGTACTAATTAGTTTTATTTCAATTCTTTCCAGAAGTTCTTACAGCTTGAAGAAGTATGAATTTTGTGTTCTGTATTTTCACTATGCGGCTTCTTCTTTTCTTGAAATATAGCACTTGTGTCTTTTATGTTAACCTATTAAAAAGGCTCATGTTCCTCGTCTCCTATTCTGATCACTTTGCTTGATTTACGCATGATCACCGAGTTAATTAGTTGATAGAGATGTTGGTAGATTAAAATAGCTATTAGAAAATTTTCTTCTTTCACACTTTAATGCTTAGAAAATCTATTTTTTTGGGTGATTGTACCATGTACTTCACCTTCCTTGTGCAATTCCTCTTCTGCACTATTCATGCATACATGAAAGATACAGTAGTAATTGTGAAAGGCGAGGAAAGAGGGTTATATGGCAGAACACATTGTGCTTTAGTTATGTGGAATATCCATCTTTTGGTGTAATTATTATGACTAATGTTTTTAATCTCTAGATGATCGATTACTGTTTTTTCTGAGAGATTTTGTTAGATAATCATGTGAAAAATTCTATGAATCTTCTTTAGATTTCTAACCAGTCTTTTTGATGTATAATGGTAAACAGGAAGAAATTACACACACGGAGAGAGAGAGAGAGAGAGAGAGAGAGAGAGAGATTATTAAAGAAAAATATAATTAGTGTTGAATATCATAAATCAATGCCTGAACTATTCAACAATAGTAGGTCTATTTATCATTAGTAACTCAAACGAAAATGGTAAGTTGCTAAAATAAACATAGAAAGATTATTTGTATGCATGTCCTTACAGATGTATGATTTCCCTATTCCAAGTTTTGTAGTAATGTCACTTGGTAACTCGGAGGATAGCAACCTTCTTGGTTCTGTGTATACAAAGGTAATATAGGGGAAGGAGATAGACGATGAGATTCTTTTCATACATTGTTTCTATTAATTTTTTTCTCATCTTTTCTTGTGGACTGGGATTTCTATTTTCTCCTTCTCTTTTTTCTTTCTTCTTTTTTTGTAGGGTACGGGGTGGTGGGGATGGGATGGGGGACTTGAAAATTTTTTCCTCTCATCTTCATTTCTTCTATTTTTGGCATTCTTGAAATTATTTTAGGTTTGTCATACTAATTTGGAAATGTATGTTTCAGATACTTGATGTGTATGTTACAAGATATCAAAGTGGGGGACTATATTGGCCTATCATACACAATACAACAATATTTTCATTGGTGCTTACACAAATAATATCTTTGGGAGTTTTTGGAATAAAACATTCACCGATTGCATCGAGTTTCACCATTCCACTGATTATATGCACACTCCTGTTCAATGAGTATTGCAGGCAACGGTTTCACCCAATATTTAAGAAGACGCCTTCCAAGGTAATATATGAAAAACTGAGATTTATCTTTTTATAAAAATGCTACTTTATAGACTGAAAAACATTGCTAGTCGCTCATCTTATGGCAAACTTTCATGTTAGTCACTGAACTTTATTTTATTCCAAAGTAGTCAATCAAGTTTGCCTTTTGTTTCAGTTTGGTCACTTAGTTGAAATCCATAAGTTTGCCTGATGGAATGTCCAACATGATAGACTTTATATTGATTAATCAGACGATCATCTTCTGCGGGAGACATTCTGTTATAGAAACTATGTTTTCCTAATCTACAATTAAGGATATTATAGAAACACGTGCTATTTTTCCTCGCCATCTATTCCCTATAACATGCTAGTAACTTCACAGACAATTATTGATATGGATCGGGAAGATGAGCACTCTGGAAGGATGGAAGAGATTCATCATCAACTGCTATCTGCTTATTGCCAAATCAAATCAGAATCAAAGAGTTCGGGTAAATCTTTGGAACTGAATTGCCCCGAGACTGAAGTGAATGACAAAGAAACTGGGGACATAAGCAGGCCTGAAGATCCAGAGGCTCCAGGTTCTATACACTGTTACTATGATTTTTTTTAGCTATACCTATTTGTGGACATAGTTGTAAAATAGGCTGGATTGTCCAGGCCCTGGTGGCTAGGGTGAGCCCTCTAATCTTTTATTAAAAAGAAAAAAGGAGTAAAGGATGGGAAACAAATATAAATTGATGCACCTCAGGAAGGAAATATGTATCTTTTTTTATAATGCAACTTAACCCGGCACGCCTGGAAAAAGTGCTTCATATCCTTATTTACTGTCCTCAATTTGTTGCTTTGCAGTAAACACGTCTGCTCAACCTCCTTGACTTGCAGCTGGCTGGAGACAGAATTGAACGTAAAAGAGACCGAAAAATTCGTGCATTTACTGTCAATTCATATATGCAATTGTCGTGAGTTTTGAATACGACATGCATAAAAGGATAGATATAAATATTTATGCACATTTCTGAGGTTTGTGTAGAAAATGATGCTGGTTGGAATCTCAGTAAAATGTATACAGCAATTCAGAAGTTGTATATTAATCTTGCGTTGTGTAAAACCTCAGGTATGTCCAATGTTTTTGACTCGTGAGAAGCGCAAGTATTTGAAGTTCGATTGGTGCATGGACATTGATATAATATATAATGTCAATTTGCATCAAGAAAATTTCTACAATTCCACGAGATATCACCTAGGACTAGGAGGGATAGCATCGTCCTAAATCTCTCTATACCATGTTAAGCCCCTATTTAGTGCTCATTGTTTTAAAACTTTTTTTTACTAGGGGATCATTTTTAACCGCATTTACACAATAAAATATTCTACACGTAAACTCACAACTTTTTCTTTTTACTTTTTAATTATGCATTTCTCCTAAAAATATTATTCAATTTTTATTTATTTATTTATTTATTTATTTTTTTTTTTTTGGGGTTGAAATAATGGGCAGCAAACAGGGGGTTAAAAACGTTCAAGAATTGAAAAATGAATCTTCTTCTTTAACTTACTGGTAAATTTAGACACAAAATAAGCCAAATTTGTTATAGTAATTTTTTTGTGGAAGTTAAAGAAAAATTATTATTGATGGTCCAAGACCATATACATTGATAGATACAATATTTACTGGAGCAGGTTCCATTCGAGATCCATTAGCCGATCTAGATCTTAAAATTTTTTAGGGTTTGGATTAAAAAGGACTAGGAGTCACTTGACAAAAATATGGTCACCATTTGAAAATATTGATAAAATGGCCACTTTGATATGTGGAAGTGTCAAGTTTACCTTTTCAAAAACAAGATGTCAAATAAGCTCAAATTCTTGTTTCATTATCAATCCGACTATTTTCGACTTTGGCAATTGGGCATCAACAATTAACGGCTTTTTCCAATAGTATGTTTTGTTACAAAATTTGCTTTCAAATGTTTTACATTGTGATATATATTCTAGATAACGCATAAGGTCTAGATAGTTCAAACTATTAAATTGCATAAACAGTGCAGGCTGTCGCGTCTGAAAGTATAGAACTATCGTTATGCTACATAGCCCCCGTTTAATGTAGCTTAAACACGTGTTAAAACTTCAAGACAATTAATAATTAATTTTCGTCACATTTTGTGGGGAACACAAGTTTTATTAATTTTTGAGCGATTCACTTCAAACACTTTTATCGAAGTATAAAATAAAATCTAATTTTTAGCAACGGCAATATGGGGCATGGTGCCTAGAGTGTTATACAATTTGAACTAACTAGATAATGTGAAGTGTCTAGGATTCTATATCGTTGAACTATATTTACATTAGCTTTTTGTTCATGTAAATTTAAAATATGTTCAAAAAACTATCGGTTTGAGCTGAACAAAACCCCCAAATCGAACCAATCAAAATCAAACTCGAATCGAAATGAATCAAACCAAGCAGTTCTTTTTAAGTTAATTACCCGAACGAGTATCATAATCGAGAATTGACGGGTTCGGTTCAATTCTTGGTAGATCCAAATCTCTCTAATTTTTTAATTAATTTATTTTAAATAAGCTCAATTATTTTATTTTTTTCTCCATATATTTGCTAACTAGTTAATTTCGCTCTAACCCAAAAATATGAATTTTCTTATTTCTAATTTTCAATTGAAGCCCAACCTAATCATATTGATATGAGTTTTACTCAAATATGTTATTCTACCATAATGTCGTTTCTACTATTCTGAAGAAATCGAATTAAAACTCGATAATACCTCTCTTAATTATTGAGAGCCTATTATTTTCTTCTTTTTAAGATTTTATCAATCAAAAGTATGAAGAACTCAACAAAAAAAGACGTAAAAGACGTTATTTTGTAAGAGCTAAGAATTTAAGATTGAACATGTCACTAGTTGACTTAGTGTAGTTTTGTAAATATTAACAAATATAATTATAGTACGGAACCCAATAACTAAATGGAGCCCAATAGAATTGAACCCAAATGGTTTTATAATTAAATTTGGATCCTATGGATCCACTTACTAAATATCCGAAAATTTCAGGTCCAAAAATCGAATTGAATCAGATCATGACCAACCCTACCACCAATCTTATTATTATTGTAATAGTTTTATAAAAGCTTTAAACTTCTACAATAAAATTGATTTAATTTTCAGCTTTATTTTGGTTTTAAATGGTAGATACAAAAATAAAATATTTAATTGTATAGTGTAACTTATTTTGAAAAAATTAATGTGGGAGTTGAACCTTACCTATAAAAGGAGTTGATATTTCATTGGAAAATACTAACTAGAAAAGAACAAGTTGAATGATTATGTTCTATATATTTCATACTATGTTACCATAATTTTGGCAATTTGATAAAGACTTGTTCTTTATCTCCATATGACTGTGACCATAAGAAGGAGAATTGGCTATAAGCTACATAGGTTTCAACCAAGCACACTACAAAAGTTGCCTAGTACTCACGGAGGATTTGTCCCACAAAGAGATGAATGAAGCATTCACAAATAGACCCACAAAGAGGAGAAGAAAGACAATCATGGTTGCCCCAAGTTTCTTCCACACATACACTAGTTGCTCACAAAGATGAAGAAGAGAAAAACAGTCGCTTCTCTGTTCTCTCTCTACCACACCTGGCCAACAATGACTAGGGAAAGCACATGTAAAGAGTCTAACTAGGGCAACAAATTGGGCCAAAGAGGATGCAAACGGGCTTGCGCTTATAAGGGACCATGAGCAACTATTCAATAAATTATTACTTCAAATGGCCTCGTTAAGCCTTGGTCTAACTTTCAGTTTGGGTCTCATCTTGTGGTGTTAATTCAATCCTCGACCGAAACTTATGCAACTAACATTAAATGATAAACATCATAGCCTCGACTTGTTTGGTATTAATAAAATCGAACAATTCTATACACTAATACCCACAAACTTACCAACAAACAACACCAAGTTAGTATTTGCTTAATCAAGATATCCAAATAAAATTTGAAATTAGAGACATTACTAGTATTTTGAACCTGAAACAGATACCATACATATTTCATGTACTCGCCAAGGATAAGGTCAAGAACCTTAGTACAATCAGATATTCTCAGCAATCAATCTTACATGTAGTTATAAAACATGCGATGAATACACAAATCTTTTCAACATGTTCATCATATAAAGAACATTAGACTAATATCAAGCTAGTCAAGTGAATGGCCAACTAATACAACCAATACATAAATGACCCTAATGAAAGATCTCACCACTATTATCCCACTCTTTTCGTGTTGCTCATATCTAAGAAACACATTTCTCCTCTCATCGCTAACAACGCTCACTAGATTGGTCCTCATGCCTAATTGGTAAACCACTACTGATCTTAAGTTCATGAGATGTTCCTCTCTCACCATCTCGCCTTTCTTAACCTAGGTAGATAATTTGTCTCCATCCAATAGGGGTGATACTCTCTTACTCCACGTAATAAGGATTTTAACAAATAGAGGATTTCAAACATTTAATCACCTCACCTCTCTTAGTCCAAATGTTATTTTCCACACCCCCACATATATGACCAATGCATCCTCAAGCATCTATTCTCCATATTACCCGTTGACACACTTACTGCTAGTGTACCTACTTAAGTGAAAAAACATCCAGTATCAATTCTCACAATAGTGATCTCAACCACTATACATTCAACACATCATATATAGTAATATAATCGCTCTCAAATTAATGCAAAAAACAAATATCCAACATAATGAAATGTAACATAGAAAAATATACTGAATCAAGCAATCATTCATATAAATAAGATTTCACACAAATATAAAAGCAATAATCAAGTTTATTATCAATAAACTTCACCGAGCCATATCTAGACCCAGTGACAACATTTGCTTCACCTCTCACCTTTCTTTCTACTTATTTTTCTTTTTAGGACAACCTCTTAAAAAGTGTTCAATTTTACTATACTTAAAAATGTTTTTTACATTTTGCTCTTGACATAGACCTACATTTCCTATAAATTGCTTTAGAAAAGCTTTTTGTTTGCCAAATGGAAATATCACCTTTGCCATTAAAAATATGCAAGTCAAATGTGTTGTCATTTTTACTTAAAAAGTGCACAAAACATATATTGCAAATAAAGAAATGGCCAAAAGTAAAGTAGAGGCACGAATGACATAGAATAGCCAATTAAACTTTTCTAAGATCACAATATACATCGTTACAAATTTTCAAAATTTCGTGATATCTACGATCTCGGATCAAGGGAATATAAAGTTCGGGTGATAATTCTAACATAATAATCAAGCAGTAAAAGACAACGCAAGAACTAAAGCACAATATATCGAGTTCACACAAAAATTAATATATAAAATTCATGAAGAATTCAAAGTAAATAATTAACAAATAATTTCTAGATTCAGTAACAAGCAATGGTTACCCTTACATGGTAACCTCAAACCTAATGTCACCCCTACACAATGACTTCTAATGAGAAAAATAAATGACTAACTCACATGATAGCTTTAACTATAAAAATAATAGAGAAAGAACACGATATCGAATGGATCAATATGTCAATTCATAAATTTTATGAGAGATGCAAACTTTATAGCTTTAGGGCCACCACTATTCACTTTAAAGCTTTTAGCAACTGTATTAACGCAGCAACAAGAGTTTACAACCAAACAATCAAGGGCAAAACTGACAAAATCAGCAAATTTCTTGAAACAAAAAATGAACACCACAAGGCACCAGTAGGTCCATGGAACAGTTAGGAGAAATCTTCAAAGAGCGTCGCTTGAAATTGCTTCACGCACCCATACACGCTTACACCATCACGACGTGTGGACCTCATGCTCTACTGCCTTCGCCGGTCCATCGCTGCATACACTAGCTAAGGAGGTTCACCTTGTCGTTTAGAGTTGGATTGTTCTTCGTTCACTTAGGCAACTCTTGGTCTGTCTAGAAAATGGTTCAACGGCTTCGGTTGGAATTTTTTCAACAAGTTTTTGATCTATTTTCTACACAGCCGATTTTATGTTATTTCTTGATGATTTTACATGCCAAGATCACTAAAGCCAAGCACTAATACCATTTATCGAATTAATTACACCATTAAGAGACTCCACCATGTGTAAAATTGA